ATTTTTTCTGGTAGGAGTCTCCACCATCTGGTCCATGAAGTTGTCGCGCAACATGTTTAGAAATCGCCCCGCCTTTGCCGAACCCGAAGTTCCATTGGCCCAATTTATGTCTGGGTAATTGAAGTCACCCATCACGACTACATTGCCCTCTCTCCCAGCTATTCCTATCTGTGAGTGAAGATTGACTTCTTCCTCTTCCCCTATATTTGGAGGTTTATAGCAAATACCCACGAGAAGTTTACGGCTAGCGTCCGTCATATCTAGCTCCAGCCATAGAGTTTCCACGTCTTCCCCATTATTTGACGTGATATCGTCCCTTATATGCACATATAGATTATTTTTTACGTAAATGCAAACACCCCCCCCCTCTTCTCCCACCTCTGTCCCTCCTAAACAGGTATTTAATTATACGCAGCCATTGTGCAGCAGGCCAAGGGTTGTGTGTGGTCCAGACACAGCACACTCATCAGCTGTTTGAAGATGTACTTCGTTTTAGATACAGGTCTCTATATGTGTCATTCCACAAAAGCCAACTCAGCCTTGTTGATTACTCAATGGGTCCAGACAAATACACAGCCAATTGCCCTCAAGTATTGCTAAACAATGCAGCTGTCCCAATGCAGCAAGTACACATAACAGGAAGTGTAACCTTTCATTGAAGACCTATTTGGGCATTTGATATCACATCTTTGCATTGCACTTACCCAATGGTTGCCCATCCTTCAGCCATGTGATCTTGGGTGGGGGAGAGCCTTCTGCTTCACATGATAAGACTATGGAATTTCCAACAGTAAGCTGCATGGTCTCATTCTGTGGGTGAATGATAGAAGCAGGCACTGCAGGAAAAGAAGTTACATGAACAATTATACTTTTTTATATAGTGTGTGTATGTACTGTATATGTATGTATGTATATATAGATATATCCATATCTATATATAGATATAGATATATCTATATATAGATATATATATATGTATATGTATATATTAGACAAAACAGAGCCAGTACCTTGACAAGTAGAGTAATAGTATTGCTGCTTGTCAGGGAACTGCTGTAGACCTTTGTTACTCACTCACCCTGAATGATCACTGTGTAGGTCAGCTCAGCCTCACCGGCTACATTGCTCATCCTGCAGGTGTAGACACCTTTATCTGATGCCTGAGAAATAAGTAGAGGATACAGTACAACAGGACGGACCATAAAATACAAATTGTATATTACTATAATGGATTTGGGTTTTATGTACATCATTTCAATTTTTAAAGACTGTAAACTGATGTTTTATTACTGTTTATGTAAAATCTTTATGTTTTACAAATAGATATTTAACACAGGTGCAGCCATGGCACAGGATTCCCAGAGCATTATTGGTTTTCTAAAGAGAGCACAGCAGAGTCTGTCTCCTTCAGATATACAGTCTTTCATTGTAACCTTGGAGGCTGCACTACAAAGGAGTCACTACTTTGATTAATTTACTTGTGTGTGAGTAAATTTCAAATTGAGCTTCGGAGCTTTGTAAACAACAGGTTTTCTTCGAGCAAACCTGTTCTTTATCTATTTCAGGGCAAAGCAACAGGTTTGCTTTAATGACCTCTTCCTCTGCAGCATATATAAGTGACACTTCTGCGGTTCCCCTTACTCCATTCTGCACTGGAAAAAACCGCAATGCTGCCAAGTATGGTAAAACATGTGACTCACTACATGTGACAGCACTGGGCAAAGGGAGTCCATAGCCCTGTGCATGCTATGACTCCAGTGACTTTGAAACACAGGGCTTTCCCTTCACTCCCGAAGACTGAACAGAACACCATGGCAATAAAAGGAAGGCGAGTATCCTGCTGGGTAAAGGGGCATTAAAGTGAACCTGTTGCTTTGCCCTGCATGAGCCAAGCACAAATTACATTTATTTAAAGCAGATAAGGATGGAAAAGCACACATGTGAAAAAGAGTAGAAAGCCACCTTGATCGGATTTAAGAATACATGTTATGCATATACAAACATTCGTATTTACGTAACTAAAAAATCTAACTATATTTATACTATACTGACAATAATATAAAAATGCGAATTGATGTAGTCCATGTAAAGAAAATCTATAAACTTTATAACATTTTTGCTATGATTAAGGCCAGGAAATAGCTGGAACATTAATAAGGCGTGGTTGCATTGGTTTCATTCTGCTTGATGTTTCAATTAAAAAGACCTATTTTGTTACAAGTGCTGGACTTGTTTCTGCTTATAGGCCTTGTTGTTGGAGAGAAGTGTCTGCCGTGCAACACTCCACCCAGCAGCTCCGAGTGTGACAGTGGCTCCTGAATTATTCGTGAAGGCTTTGACTACTTTCAATCAATTGAAGTTATGAATGTAAATATGTTAATTATAATGGTATGAAAATCTTAGTTATGCAAGTGAAAAAACAGGAAGAAAACATCAAGCAAAAGATAATACATTTTTAACTAGCATAAAGAACGTCAGATAGGGAATGGCTGCCTCCAACAGAGTTTTGCTTTGTAACACCGATCCTACCATTTTAAAGGCGACATTTTTCAGAGGGGGCTGGTTTTGGTGAGTTTATTTTTTACATGTTTATATTCAACTAAGAAAGACTTGTAAGTTCTTACCTGGACATTCTGTATTTCCAGTCTCTGGCCACTGTTGAAGGTAAACACATTGCCACCACTTGGGAGCACTTGCCCATTCTTATACCAAGTGACAGCCGGCTGGGAGAGAGCCTCAGACTCGCACAGCAATGTAAGGGTTCTGCCAACACGGAGAACTGTTTCTTTGGCTCCATTGGGTGGTTCTCTGATACTGGGTGGAGCTAAATAAGAACGTTATATGTTATTTTTGACTGTACAACAGGAAACCTGTGCTGAGGGAAATATGGAGCTCACACAGAGCAATAGGCTGAAGAACAAAGTTACATACGTTTAAACTATCTTGGTTCTGTAGTAGTATAGGAATCTATATTTACAGACTGCATAGAGGTCATTTCACACCATATAACTACTATTGTAAAAGCATAATTTGTCAAGTTTTTATTGTTATCTGTGTCCCAGTTTAGCAACAGGAAGTAAGGTGAAATAAAAACACAGGCAGCAGTTTTTCTAGTGCAGTGGGGAATGGGTAAATCCTATATTAGGTTTTATTGCTGTGTGTGTCCCCACTGGGGTGATTTCCCTTCACATGCTGCCCAGGTTGTGCCAGGCAGAAAGCAGAATTGGAAGCCCCCATTAAAGTGGACAGAGAAATCAATAAGTAAAACTAACAAAACTTTCCACACCAAAAAGGTTTGGCTGGAGTTGTGAATTAAACAATAACCAACAATAGGTCTCTCTCTTACCATGGACGGTGAGATGAATGTGCTTGTCATCTGCTCCAGCTGGATTCTGAGCTCTGCACATATATATTCCTTGGTTGGAGAGCTGAACTCGAGCAATCTGTAGCACTTGCCCACCTGAAGAACAATAAACAATAGCAAGTTCAATGCTGTCTACACCCAAAGCAATATTCAGTCTCGATGCTGTCTTTGAATGATGATGTCCTTTCATACAGACACCAAACCTTTTGTGTGCACTTGACCCATATGATTGCTAGGGTGATAGCTAATGCCAGGATATACCTGATACTAAGAAGTATACAGAGAAAGGGACAATGACTGTATGGCAACTGAGCTGCTAAGAGTTTTGGGAATCCTCTTTGCAGTCCACAAGCACCACTGCCTATGGGAAGAATAATGGCATGATGTACTGTGGGACCATGTATTGGCAGAAATAGATAATGGCTGTCCATTAACTGAGCTGCTGAAAATCAAGGCATTCCTCTTTGCAGCCCACAACCACCACTACCTATGTATTGCTATGGAAGACAGAATGGCATGCAGTATGGTGGGTCTGTGTGCAGGCATGGAGAAAAAGGAATTACACCTACAAGTTAACTGGGCTGCTGAAACTCCTGGGATTCCTCGCTATGATTTCTCATCACTACTGTCATCCACCTAATTCTGCTTCTGGATGTCAAGTGTCCCGTAGTGGCCAGTGTCTTCACTTCTAAAGATATGGACTCTCACAGTGTAACAATATCTACATTCTGTAGTCACCAAGCTAAGGCTGAGCAGCCTCCTCCAGTTATTGAGGATACAGCCGAAAAGTTATGTGAACTCTCTTAGTAACAGTTCTGTTGTGGGTGGGGCATGTAACCCCATGATGGTGTGAACATTAAGTACCTGGCATGATAAGGTATCCTCTTCCGGGATGCAGGACTTGTCCATCTTTGTACCAGGTTATCTCAGGGGTGGGGTGAGACTGAACATCGCACACAATGGAGATGGAGGTGTGGAGGATAGCGCTGACGTTCTCACTCTTTGCACCAAATATTCTGGGTAGAACTAAAATTCAGAGTTGAAACAAATAATTTTAAGAACTTTCCAAATGACTTGTGAATAAGTTTTATTGGTCTATTGATCAACTCATTGGGGACATCTGATGTACACAAAACTGTCATCTATAGGTTACCTAAACATTAAATTGTGTCACTTTATAAAAATACTGAATACCATTAAAGGAAACTTTCCACATTTTGGGAAGAAGTTACAAACAAGTACATATCTTACTAATGAACAAAAGGTGCATTCAGAAGGATTGTTCCAGCTTTTCCCTATCAATTGCTCTGAGACAAGTCAGAGCCTATAGCACTGCCCCTTCCCTCCTCCATAGGTACCAATGTGCAAGTATTATTTTCAATCAAAACATTTTTATGTGCAAAGAAAAAAACGTTCTTCAGTTTTTGCAAAGATATAATACAGACAGGAAAGATGACAACAAGTACAGCACAAACATTTGTTACTTTATTCTAGATAGTGGTGAAGGGTTAGTTAGGTTTTCATTACAGTCTGTGTATTGGAGAGATCTCCTACTTTCTGTCTGAACAGGAAGGGAGGGGAGATCTCCTTAACAGGCACAGAGACTAAAACATATATAAAAAGGTGCCCATACAGCTTACGATTATCGTTCAAAAATTGACCGCGATCGGGGTTTTCGTACGATAATCGGCCAGTTGATGGAAAGTGAACGATCACAATTACTATACAACGGGCCAGATTTCGTCTATCAGACAGGCTGGAAAACCTTTTGGAACCGAATTGAAATCAATGGATTAGTGGCATTTTCGTACGAAACAACTCGCAACAAGAACACTGAACATGCGCAAACGAAAATCCGTTCTGTCGGTCAACGAAGTTAGTTGAGTTAGTATTGCTAACATGAGTTAGTATTGCTAACATGGTCTGCGCATGATGGGGTATATCAGCTAAAATCGAAAGAGGGTTCTTGGCAGCAACAAAGATTTCCAATGGAAAATTGTAAGGTGAACAATAGTTAAAACCTCTTACAATGCTTTTAATGCTGTATGCACCTTCCTGTCATGTCTAATACAAGGAGAGTTCAGATATTGGAATTAATAGTGATAGCCTTTGACTCTGTTGGTCAGCTCTGTGACTTTTTACTGGGTAGGAGCACCTGGATCATCTTCTGCCAGAGCCTTCCAAAGGTTATCCACATAAGTACCCAATCCAGTGAAGTCATCAGGCAAGAAAGAGCATGTGGCCAGGCAAAGGGCAATGTGGGCTGTCCAGCTTAGCCTATTGAACCCATGGCTCTAATAAGCATTACCATGAACATGATTTCAATTATGGTCAATGTGTTGTCTTTTTCCAATACATGCAGAGGGCTATGGTCAACGATGAGATAAAGTAGTGGGTTAAGTATTAGTATGAAAAAGAACCCTCAATCTTAATGAAAGTTGACCACTATTCATACCATGAACCATTAAAGTGAAGAGTCTCTCCGTAAAGCCAGCTGGATTCTCTGCAACGCATACATAGCTGTCTATATCAGAGACCTCAACTGAGTGAATCTGTGAAGATAAAGAATAGTCAAATCATCGAATGAAGTCAAAGAAGACCTTTACATACTTATATTGATTAGTCTATTACTCCAGGGCTTAATAAGACCTGAAGCTTATTAAAGGTACTATGTAATGGGAAACCTGGGGAAAGACCAGTGATCCTCTGACAGATAACGGAGGCTATGCTCATGCACAATACAGAGAAATCTAAAGCCGTGCTGACAACAGGTTTGTTTTAAGTAGCAGCCTTTACCTGCAGTCGTTTCCCCTCATCTAGGATCTCGTACTGGTCACCGGTAGACAGAATCAGCCCGTTTCTCAGCCAGGTGACTGTTGGTGGAGGAAAACCTGTTGCCTCACACACAAGTTCTGCAGTTTCATTGTATATAACAGACACCTCTTGTATTAATCCATCCACTTCTCCAAGAATGACAGGAGGAGCTGAAATGGTGGATACAAAATGGTAGCATGAAGTTAGGATATGCAGAGCAGGCCATAATTGCCTAATGTGTATGTAAACTTGATTTATCTGAAATACTGAGAAATACTCGAGTTTTTAACCATTAAAAATGTAGTGGGAGATTCCTCCGTCCAAACAGTTTAGCGTAGATGGAGGAATCTGTTGCACTTTTTCCATCTGAACATAGAAAATCTGCAGATAATCTATAGGTGTATGACCGGTTTAAGTTTTACTGTTCTCCCTCTTCTGTTACTCCTCCCACTGATAATATGGGCTGTCAACAAGACAGCCAGGAATTGCTATGCATTACATAGCAGAAACAGCTCTCAAAATGCAGCTGCCCCTGTGTAAACTGACACTTGCAGATAGTCATCAAATGTCATCAAGTAATACAGTGTAACAAATGTATTGTTACATTGGATTTACTATTTTATTGATATAGAGATGTAAGGTGTGACCTTTTATTCTGCATATGATAATAGTTAAAGAAACCCTACAAGTAAAAAAAATGCTGGCTTATGCTCCTGAGATTCATTTCAACTTAAGTGGCTTTGATAAGCTACAAGGCTTCAGCATGACAGGACAGGTACAGTTAAATGTGACTAACAACTACTGGCTATATATGGACCTTTATCATCTAAAGTGTATTTCCACTGTTGCAGCCAAATTAGAATAACAACTATTTTACATTTGTTACATGTTCCCATGCACATAGCATAAGCTAAAAACATATATTAAAAAATATTTCTCAAAGTTTAAATTGCTTTTACTTGGGGTTACTAGGGTTTCTTGGCTTCTTAAGGGTTAACATTTCTTCTTGTTTTTCCTCCTTTGTAATGATAGGAGGAGTTGTAAGGGGTGAAGAATAAAGGATTACAATGCTGGCTTTGCCAGTGTATGTTAATAATATTAATGAGAAAAACACAATTCTTAAGTTTCAGTCCTAAGTCTTTCAATAAGGACCCATCAATGTGAAGGTGCTCAGACAAAAATTGGATTCGGCCAAGTTGCTGCAACAACAAAAAATTCTTACCTTTTAGATGTTTTTATTATTTTATGGTCTGTGTGAATAGTAACACATAAAACATATAGAGGGGATTTCTCAATTTTGCCTGCAAATGTGGAAATACATTTTAAATAAATTTCAGTACTTTGTACTGCTTTCTAAGTGAACACTAATGAGCCCTAATTAACTACTTCCACCCTTTCTCCCCAACTTATTTTACTGCTATTCTTATTTTATTTCTAGCCTTTGTTTTACATTAATACCATTTAACCATTTGAGCAAACTAGACCATGCTTCTATGGCATTTTTGGCTTTCTCTAGATCAACTGCAGGTATAAAGGAGAACTATGGAGTGAGTGAATTACACTCATGCCCATAGTTAGAGCCGATGTGCGACACTGAAAGTGTCATATGTCAGCTCTATTGATCGGTAAGTGAGCGAAAACATCCCGTGATCATCTCCCTGCAGAGAGTGGTGACTGTCAGTTACCACTCCCTGCAGGGATTCACCCCTCCAATCTCGCAGCGCTGACTTGAGGGACAGACGGGGGAGGGGCGGGCATAGCTGACTATGCCTCTAGATAGGCAGAGCCAGCCGTCAATCAGCCAGCAGGGTAGATCTCAACAGTATTGTCGGGATCCGTCCCGGCTGCTGCGCTGTCAGCACATAGCGGGCAATAGCCCGGTATATAATGAGTTTTGGGTCAGGGGAGGATGTTAGTATATGTCCTCCCCTGACCCTAAAGAGAACTATGGGAAAAAAAGGTTACCCCATAGTTCTCCTTTAAGATTCTTTGGATAAAAATGTTTTTTGTTTTTTTTGGTGAACTTGATGGACATGTGTCTTTTTTAACACAACTATATCAATATGTATACTCTACGTAACATGCGCTTCCCGCCCTCTGACATGCCATTTGTTCCCTGTTACATATATGGGATTAGGTGACTGAAGGAATAGTTCATGTTTACTCAGCTTAGTGCAAAAAGGTAGTCATGTGCAAGAGAAATGTAAAAAAAATTAGCTGTTATGCCTTATTTACTAAGCTAAGTGAACTCTACAAAATTAAACATTGTCTACTTCTTTACTAAATCAGCCCCACTGTTCCTTATGTTTCACATTATAAACAATGTGTGCCTGTTTAGTGTATACCCTACTGTATGCTATGCTATGTAATATATCAGTACTGTATAAACAAAATATAATATTAATACCTCTAAGGCAGTGGTTGCAAACTCCGGCCCTCCAGCTGTTGTGGAACTACAAGTCCCTTGAGGCTTTGCAAGATTCTCACAGCCACGACTCGCAGAGGCAGATGCATCATGGGATTTGTAATTTCACCACAGCTGGAGGGCCTGAGTTTGCCACCCCTGCTCTAAGGGATGCATTTTATGTGCAGTGAGATCGTCAACCACTTTCATAGCATTTATTACTAAAATTACTCACTGAGAACAACCAGGTCGTAATGTAGTCTGTCCTCTCCTGCTTCATTAGATGCCTCACAAGTGTATTTCCCAGCATGCTCTACCCGGGACATGGGTATCTGTAAGACACGACCCTCTAAAACAAAATGGAATATGATTAGGGCAATTTAATGAAAAAAGCAAAGCAAACAAAAGCACATCAGTTAAAACTCTTTTTAAAATGCACTTTTCTTCTACAAACAGCAAAGGCTGCCATTTTGTTGTCAGAATTAGGGATAAACTCAGACTCCACGGTCCCAACCTGAGCTCCTCTGAACATGAAAGGAAGCTCCTTCTGTTGTTGCCCAATCAGCTGTGTCCAGCGAATTCCTGCCCACAGATGCACATAAGCAAAGGGGTGTGATGCAGTGATGCTATTGACCTTATATGGCCACATGGCTATACAAGGTCAATGACGTCAGCAAAAGTATCCAGCTCTTTTGTTTATGTGCAGCTGCAGGGTGGGCAATACCTGGCTGATTGGGCGGGTAGCAGCATGTAGCTTTCGGATTCAGAGGAGCTCAGGTTCAGAACAGGTTCAGTCCAAACCTGAGCTCATCCCAAATCAGAATTAGTAAGCATGAACAAGAATACAGTCTACAAAACTGGCAGATGCAAAAAACATAACTGTACATATACAGGACACTAAAGTATATCTAATGTCAAAAGGAGTGTTTTAGTTTTGGATAGATTAGAGAATAGCTAATCTTCCTGGTAATGCTTTTACCATCTGTCCACCATAAGAGAGAATTATCTTCATCTTCTATCCCATAGACACAACAGAAAGTAAAAGAGAATGTCTCCCAAATAAATGTAATCCCCTCTTAAACAGTTTTCACAAGAACATCTGTCTTGATTGGAATAAATCTTCTTTATTCCTTTTCTGATGACAAAATTTGGATTTTCTCTCCCTTTCTGACCTACTGACAATGACCACCAGGTCACACAAGAATTAAACTACCCAGTAGAGACACAAACAGCAATTAAAAAAGTGACAGGAGAACTTTATCCAAAACAAAAAAAAACTTTAGATGTGCATTAAAAATCTCTCCAGAATGATGGGTGATCTCTTACCCAGGAGCACCAGAAATCCATCAGAAGGGGTGATGGGCTGTCCATCCTTGTACCAGGTCAGGGTGGGTGGCGGGATAGCATTGGTGTCACAGTATAAGGAGATTGGATTCGAGGCAACAACCTCCCTGTGTTCGGTCACCTCGTCTTCTTCATCTTCTCGATACATCAACTCTAAAGCAGCACTGGGGCTCCCCGGCTTGTGGAATATCGGGGGGACTGTGAAAGAACAAGTGAAAAAATTGTATTTAGATAAACAATACAGGATAGGTCATCATTTATCATGGGGGAAGGAGGTTTAGAAAATGTGTGCTAGGTTTGACTGTATTAAAGGAAACCTGTATGGATAGAAATGTGGAGGCTGCCATTGCTAACCCCTTCTATAGAGGTAGCTATTATCATTCATTAAATACACATGGTCTGCTTCCTATTTTACCTCACTACACAATGGTTGTGCTTTACTGCTCCTTCTCACAATGCAAGTCTATGAGTCGGGCCAACTCACGGAAATCATTATACTTCCTGCGTGCCTGATATCTTAACAGCCGTAAAGCAGGAAGACCTAGTGATTGCAGTGTCGGTCTACTCCCCCTCAAATTACCATCTACAAATCTCTATATTTAATACATTAAAAGAATTGAAGGGTCTATACATTTTTCAGCACATTATGTTGTGGAAAACAAACATGAAACTGCTGTTATCACCCACAAAAGCCCACTAGACATAATTTTTTTTTAAATAGTACAGCCAGAGTTTGCAGCGATAGGCAGTACTAATACTTTTATTCAATGTGGCATTTTATACTTTTATTTCATTTATTTTGAAATCAGAAGAACACATTGAACAATATTATTGGGAGCCAGTGGTGCACATTTGCATTACGGGTTTACAGATACTTTGAATAGAACTGAAGCCAAATCTTTTTTAGTTTTGGATAGAGTAAGGGAGGGTTATATCGCTGACAACTTTTTTTTTTTGCTATCTGTGTCACATTAGGGAGATTTCACTTCCTGTCCAATAGCTATAACAGTAAGTGAAAGGAAATTCCTTTCAAGAGAGGAAATCCTTGGTAGTCAGCAGGGTCACCAGAACTAATGTCTCCATTGGTAGATGTGTCATCTTTCCTTGTTCTGATGACAACCCAGAATTTTGGATTTTCTTTCACTTTCAGTGATAACAGTCACCAGGACAAATAGAGGGGATGAATCTCCCCAACAGGGGCATAGACAACAATAAAAACACGATAGATATTCTAATCCCTCTCCAAGCTATCCAAAACAAAAACAAAAAGTGTTTCGGCTTCAGTTGCACTTCAAGGAAATACAAGTAGGGATGCGCCGAAACATATCGTACGATAATTGTACTTTTGGCTAAATGCCGAAAGTGTCGTCGTTCAGCCGATATTGCGGTGCATCCCTGGTTTCTCTCCTCCCTGCTTGACGCTGCTCTGTGTCCCCTCTAACACAGTGCAGCATCCAGCGGGGAGGAGAGAAACTGTCACAGAGCGGTGCGGGGGAGGAGAGCGTTGTGAGCGGCCAGCGTCTCTCCTCCCGCACTGCTCAGCCTCCTGTGACAGATTAGGAGAGCGGCGTGGGGGCGGAGACAGCTGTCAGAGCTGTAACAGGAGGCTGAGCTCTCCTCCCGCACCGTCCCGCTCAGCCTTCCGTGACAGATCAGGAGTGTGGCTGTGTGAGGGTGGGGATACCTGTCACAGGAGGCTGACCCACGGTGCAGGGGAGGAGTCAGCTGTCAGAGGAGATCGAGCTCTCCTCCCCGCACCGCTCACTCAGCCTCCTATGACAGGATGGAGAGCGGGTACAAGCATTAACTACCTCCCGGCCAGCCGCTGTGTATACACGGCCTGCCGGGAGCTTCTTGGATGTAACTGGGCGTGTATACACGTCCAGATCTCTGAGTGTTTGAAAATAATTTAGGACATAGTGGGGGGAATTTATCAAAACTGGAGCAGAAGAATCTGGAGCAGTTGCCTATGACAACCTATCAGTTTCTCTCTTTAGTTTGTTCAGTTAAGATTTGAAAATGAAAGGTGGATGCTGATTGGTTGCCCTCAGTGTGTTTACTCTGTCCCCAATTATGAATGAATGGGAAGTTATCTACATGACTTCCTGTTGATTCATGGTTGTGGACATACTATCACCACAAGTTGTGAATGAACAGGAGCACCCAGTATACAGGCTTCCTGTTTATTTATAACAGGGGCTGCAGTAAAAGAGATTGAGGACTCTGTGTTCTCAATCTCTTTTTCTATTTTATACGGGAAATATTAGAGGTCTGTTTAGACCCCTAATATTTCCCTGAAGTCCCCAACAGTAAAAATAAAAAATGTTCAGTCTCGGTCTGACTTTTTTTTAATTTTAGGTTTCGTTTCCTTATGAAAATTTCATTTCTGTGCACCTCCTAAATATAAGCATAATAAACAAGACATATATAACTTCATAGTAAGCTTATCCACATGTATAGCTGGCTGGCTGATACAAACCTTGAACATTCACATGGAATTCTCTTTCATCCTCGCCAGCAACATTAGTGGCCACGCAGGTATAGCGCCCTGAGTCGGTCACTCGGATAGGCTGGATCTGCAGTACGTGCCCATCTCCAATGATCTGCATTGAGCCAGAACTTTCTAGAAGCTGCAAATAAATAGCAAATGTGGGTGAAATAACCAATCCTACAAACAAATAGGAAAAACATAAAAAAAATGGAATGCTATAAAACCTGCAGTTATCATCTACAATGCCACTATTTCCAAAAATGCACAAATAGCTGCCTAGATCTCTCAATATTTACCAATGAAATTGTCTAACTTTTAGAAGATGGGAGGGCTGCTAATAGGCAAATGAGGCAATCCCCAAACCATGCACCCAATGTAATTCAGTGTATGTGGCTGCTCTGTTTTGAAGGCAATATATAGTTATTTCAATAATTGTTCTAAATATGTGCATAAAAGGTATTCGCTTGATTGATACATTTAACACTGTGTGCAATGCACATGGGGCAGCCAATGATATATGCACATAGGGGCAGACATATATGTTGACTGACTCATAGACTTGCATTGTCTCTTCAATAGGACAGAAAAAGGGTTTGTGCTAATTATATCCAATGTTCCCTTTTTTTAAAATTTTTGTCACTCAAGAATGGTGGAGTCATGTGACCTATAGCCTGCAATGGAAACATTGGAAAGCAAAGGGTGGCATTTGAATTCCAGATTTGTTGCTCTAAATCCATCGAATTCTGACCTGTCCATCCTTATACCAGTGAAGACTTGGCTTTGGCACCGCCCAAGATTCGCATTGGAGGGTTAGGCTGCTGTTGACTCTGGTCTTCACTTCTGTCACACCGATATTATCTCCAGAGACATCCTTTGTGATCTGCGGGGGAACTAAGGGGAAGAATCAGGATGAGAATGATAGTTTTTAGTATTTTGGTTTCCTCTGCACTAAGGACTGTATGTGAAATGACACAATTATACCAACTGTTAAGATGACCAAACAAGGCTCAAATTTCAGCTGATTCCTGTGACACAGCCAAAATTAAGTCAATGCTGGCCCTATAGGCCTCACCCAGCTTTACAAACTTCAAGTGAAAAAATGAAGAGAGGCAGGTCGTCCAAACAGCAACTCCGTCAGCTTCAGTCACCATTCAGGTTATTCAAGCAATTTCTCACCGGTTTCTTTTTAAACTGAATTTCAGTACTAATCCAAATTGTCCTAATAGTCATCAGCCTGATTCATCTTCTACGGAGATGCCCGAAGCGTAAAATATACTGGCCATGGGTCATTTCTACATTAAATGCTATCTAAGAGTTTTCTCTAGACGTTGAACCTTTAACAGGTATCCCGTGGGGTTATGATTCTTTAGAGATGGATGGGAATATATCTTTGGTTGTAACAAGAGTATTATGTTTGGCCTGTAAGTTATTGGCTCAAAAATGGCATACCCCAATACCAGTGAAGCAATGGAAAACAGAAATACATAAATATATGAGATTTGAAAACTATACCTATCGGCTGGGAAACCAGCTTTACAAACTTGAGCTGATGTGGTTAAGATGGTTAAATAATACTATGGGAAATACTAGTTGATATATACTTCTTATTTGGAAATTATTCAACCAGTGCGGGTGTGTTTTCTTTTCTTTTCGGTGGATGTAATGTTTTGTTCTGTTGTAATATGCTTTGTGAAAAATGTATTTATCATTATTCGAATATGTAGAAGAATGTTAAGTTTAAAATCTTTAATAAGGAGCATCTAAATAAAAAAAAATTAAAAAAGAAAATAAAGTACCAGAGGTTGTAGTGTGACCATAACTCCTGTCATTGGTGACAATCAACTCAGACTGGATGAAGAGGTAGGGGGGTTTTATTTTCAATTTAGCTTTTTGTTTAAATTTAGTGGTTTTTGTTACACATTTACTCACCTTGTGGTGAATAGTTAAGACATCCAAACCCCATATGTCTAATGTAAATGGTCGGTATCATGCCTATATGCCTCTTTAAAGCCTAATTTCAGGCAAAAACGCCCCTTCCCGTTAAGGTCCACCTTCCTTCCCGGATGAGAAGCAAGAACTGGAATTTCTGCAGACAGGAGGTAGGAGCACTAGGTCATATGTGTACTGTACCTGGCTGACTAACCCTTTATAATTCCACATTCAGTCTTTTATTTTTCATTTCAAACTATTTTTAACAGAAATATGGAAAGGATTTTGAAAAACAAGGGACAAATTAGGTGATATGAGATACATGGTACTAAATACAAGATCTAACAATGACTTACTAAACACTTTGACTTCGTAATTCCTAATGGCTTCTCCTATTTCATTGGTCACTATACAGGTGTATTGTCCAGCATCTTCTTGTCTGGCATTGAGGATTTGTAGCCCATGACCTCCTAGAACGTAATAAAATACAAACAGTACAGTTTGTCACTTTAAAAAAAATAATATGCTTGGTCCATTAATCATCCTCCATCAACACTACAGTGATTTATACCATGGACTGCAAGTATCTTCTCCTATGGGCTCCTAGGTACATTACAAATGTTCATCATCAAAGGGTAATCCCCCAGAGACTATAGGGGAGTTTGGGGAAGGTAATATATTAATAACAGTTGCCTCTGCCTCAACATCATGCCAGATGGTTTATTTTCATGTACAGGGGATTGGTGGATAAGGCAGCTAATTCATACTTACACAACAGACTCATAGAACAGTAGCTTACAGCACCGGGATCTTAGCCCTGTTATGTTTTGGCACAGAACCTGTTGCCTTTTCTGGCAACAGCATCAGGCAGAGGAGGGTTAACTGCCAGAGGGTGCTTTAAAGAAGATGATTGTTAGGAACTGTAATTCACTTACTCACAATGATGAAACCACAGTTACAATACTAGGGATGCCCAGTGTCAGAGCATAACATATGGTATTTGATTTGAAATGCTATGAATTGTAGCCCATGAGGTACAAGCAATATTCTAAACTAGTTCTTAGTACAGGGAATCTACAATCTTTACCAAATTACATGCTAAATAATAATATAAAAGTGTGGACTGCAAAAAAAAATAAAATAAACTGGTTAAGATCAATATTATTAAAGTGACATTAAAGTCAAAAACAGTTTTCCCTCCCCCCAATGTTAATGAAAGCACATACCTTAAAATGATGTTTCTTAATCCGATCTTCCACTTCTTTCCTGTCCTTTTCACCCTTCTCACCAGCCCTGCTGCGGGTCTCCGATCCAGCGCTGGCTCCTCTGTCCTTGCTGGCACTTCCTGTCCCACGGTGTCTGCATGCGGGTGCACGCGTCCCTAGACTTATCTTGTGTCTCTCCTCCTCTCCCGGCCGAAAATCCAAACTTCGCATCCGCCCGCCCCAGGGTGCTTTGCGGCTGCCCGAGCATTTTCGGATGGGAGCGCGCGGCGAAGACACAGGTAAGTTTAAACCGCTTTTAAAGCGGGCTTTTTTTTTTTTTTTACTTTTGCATATATCTACTGCTTGCTAGCCTCATATATATGCAAAAAAACGTGAGGGTTTAGAAACCCTTTAAACTATGTCTACAAAAGCACAGAAAAGCAATACCATAATTATATTATTGGCTATGTGTTATAGTCTCTTGTACAGTCACCTTTAGCGATGTATTTAAAATGTTATAATCAAGGCAGATAAAATATTAATGAGAATGCCCATGTACCAGACATCAGGAAAGCCTTGCCTGACACTGCAAAAATTCCCAGTGTGAAACAAAGATTTCTGATTGGCTATCGATGGTGAAATACGGTTTATCGTATTGTAATGACATTAAGTTTGGGAGAATCTTCCATGTTTCATTTCCTATTGAATGTGTCGGTAACTATTCATTACAGTTTAGGTATTCTTATTATACTCTTGCATGAATAAGTTATGTGTTCGGTTTGCATCATAGATCCTCTTTAAAGTGAAACATTTTATGGACAGGGTAGGTAGGGGTTAAAACAGCTCTTAGGTATGTTATTTTAGTCTGCATATCTATTGGAGAGAATTTCCCCTCACTTCCTGTCCCGGTGAAAGAGGCCACTGAGCTAGCCAATATCAAAAGGCTTTCAGTGGTGTTCCACTTTAAGCTATTTACCTGGAATGGTCTTCACATTGGCTGAATCTTTAAAAGGTTCTCCATTTTTTAACCAGGTAACAGTGGGAGTGGGAAATCCAAGGGCCTCGCAGACAAGCGACAGAGGGTTGTTAACAACGACTATAACGTCTTCACTGGTGCCATCGTCAAGATTGCCAGAAATGGTGGGACTCACTGCAGACACAGAAGATACACTTTAACTCATGAAAGGCAAGCAGTAAGTAATTAAATAAATCACATGATTAGTAGCCTTACCTAGCACTGTCAACACAAAGTGTTTGCTCCTTTCAGCAACGGAATTAGTGGCCAGGCATGTGTAATGTCCAGCAGAGAAGACACTGGCAGTTTGAATGTGTAGTTCTGTGCCATCGTTTGATATCTGAATGCCATCTCCACTTTGTACTGGCCGGGAATCTCGCAGCCAGGTGATATGGGGAGCTGGGTGACCTGAAGAAGAGCAATATCTAATATTTAAAATTCAACCAACTATAGAGCCATCCACAAAGCTACACTTCAATGTATCACCCCTAGGATTTCATATCATCTTCTGGTAGAAAGACAGAAGATGAAGACACAGGAACATCACCACAAGGGGCAACTTAAGTAGCACAATGTGCATTCGCTATGGTTTCACAATACTTCACAAGTCTCTTTCCCACCTACATTTTTTTATAAAGCACCATAATGAGATGTTGTAATTGGGAAATTATCCCTAAAAAAAATGGTAAAAAGTGACAGAGCTATCAAAAAGGTAGCAAAAACCAAGAGGAAAGTGAAGCAACATTCTTTCTCCAGCTGTCCCTTTATATAATGGATTGCAAGTCAAGGGTGCAATTAAAAAAAAAAAAAAAAAATGACACTGCACTGTTGCTCTTCTGTTGTCTTGTACCAGCCTTGCCGCTCTCCGTTCTGCCCTAACATTGTCTGGTCGCTGACGGCCACAATTCGCACGTTCAGACCCAGATTTTCGGCTGACAGTCCAGTCTTTAAACACTTTAACAATAGCTGCTCTTGAACATTTAAAGAATTTTGCTGTTTTGCCGATACTCGCTCCATGGCTTGCGCCAACAATCATCACACGTTCAAAGGCTGTTAAATCACGTTGTTTACCCATTTCTTCAGAATAAAATCACTTCTACTGTCGTGTTAAACAACCTGCTTCCCTATTTATAATGGTCTGGCCCTCTAGCAACTTCAGCGCGAAATTATAGCTAATTTGCCTACAAACGTCAGGTGGTCATAATAATCTGGCCACTCAGTGTATATATATCCACATACTCATTTTAACCTTTTTGTTTTTCTGATAACCTCTGCAAAAATCAGGTTTAAAATATGACAAGTGATAAAGTTCCAGTCAACAGCAGACAAGTTATGATCAAACCAATTTATGATCAGAATTACAAACATCAGATTATCAAAACCATCATAAAGAGAAATCCACGTGCTGTACATATAAACATCCATCTTATATAAAAGATCTGTGAGCTCATTTCAAGTGTTTTCACCCCTCCTTTCCAAGAAATGTAGCCTTTTAGCTTTCTACTGACCTTCTAGATTATCTTAGCAGCTAGTCTGAGAGGCTAGCACTTCATTTTATAAAAACGTAATGTTTTTATAAAACTTCACGAGTTTTATGTTTTTTTTTTTTTTTTAACCAGCTTATAGCAGACTATGGGGTGGGTGGGTGTGTGTGTTGGTCTCCTATATTGCAATATGGTTTGCATAATTTGAGCCCACTGGTTAATGGTGATAGCAGGTGATTTACTGCACTTTAAAATGTCTTTCCATGTCAGGGCAAAAGAGGCAATAAGAGGACAAAAAAAAAAAAAGAAGTTTTTTATAAATAGGCAGCTAAGCTAGGGTACATACTCATGTCCAAGCAATACATTTAAATGAATTGAACAAAACAGCATCAACTTGTAAGGGCAACTGAAATAAAATATTTACAAAAAACATTGACACTGCTCCTATCTAAAACAACATGCTAAATTTGTGTATATCTGACCAGTATTGAAGCATTCGTTTGAGTAGTAGGGAAAGGTCAGAATTCCTAACTTTTTTTTTGTCTGTGACCCATCGAGCATGTACCCTTCCCTCCCTGTCCCGCAGACACAACAGAAAAGTTTTTTTGTATCAAAAGTTTTTTTTTTTATATTTCAGACAGACCATATGATTACAAAGTACCCATTTATTTCTTTATAGATGTATTTAGACTTGTGAAAACAAGTCGAATAGTGAATGATCGTATTGTGGGCTATTTGGGAACCAGTACTCTTGCCAGCAGGCCATATTTGCCATGATGCCAGGTTCCTGCTATAAATAAGAAGAGAAAGCCTACTGTCATCCTCACCTGTAGCTCTGCAGCGAAGAACAATAGGTTTCCCCTCTGCCACTTGGTAATCTCTATCATTCTCATCATCCTCTATGGTGGGAGGAACTGCAACGACAAATGTTAGATGAGGAAGAACATAATAAGTGAAAGCAGAGGTCAGCAGACATTTAACACATTGCATACAAATGGCACAAATAATGCACATGGTGATTGTTTGCAAAAACTGAAGGATATTGCACTCCTAACTGAAAACAGTCTTGAAACTGGGAACGGGAATCTGATTTGGGCTGAAATTACGGACAAGGACACAATAACCCTCCCCCTTTACTTTCCATCCTGCATCAGAAATCTAATCTAATTGGTTTCCATGGGTGACAAAACAGGTTATTTTTTCAGATAATATTAGAACAGGTTGCTATACAGCGGTATGCAAGAACGAAAAAAAACTATTTTTTTTTCCATAAAATTATTTTTAGTCACTTAAAATAATATATAGTACGTGTGAATAGTTCACACTTATCTGCCAGAAGGAGGCCAGTGTGAGGCCAGTACGACAAGTTTTCTGGAGCCTGGTTTACTGCTATACTGTGAAAAGCCTGGATATGCACGTAGACCTGAATAGCAGGGGATCAGATTACACGCACAGCTAAATAAGTCAGTAGGAAGATATTCCCCTGCTAGACCCGTCTGGATTTTTCTACTGCAATAGCTGATAGAGTGAATGTAAGGGGAGAAAAGAGAGGTCAGTGTCAAAAAGCACGCCAAGGCATCGTGCCTGCGGAGAAGAGGAAATGGTAGCTCCATCAACCTGAAGAGAGATGCACATGGGGCTAACCTTAGAGGTAGGAAACACTATGGGTTCGGTCTTAGAGAGCTTCAGTTTGAGGAAGCGGGTGGTCATCCATTTTGAAACAGCGTATATAGGCAATCAGTTACACGAACCAACAGATTGGGGGAAAGATCCGGTGAGGAGAGGTAGATCTGTGTATCATTAGCATAGAGGTGGTAATGAAAGCCGTATGATGGGATAAGATTACCCAGAGAGGCAGTGTAGAATGAGAATAGAAGAGGGCCCAGTACAAAACCTTGTGGGACTCCAACAGAGAGAGGTACAGAGGGGAAGGTGGAGCCTGTGGAGTGATAATCTGCAGTGACTTCAGTTCAGACCCTGCACTGCTAAATAGTGTATCTGCTTGCTGAGGTAAGAAAGGGAAAATAAAAGATTAATATACTCTATGCACAATTTAAAAAAAAAAAAAAAAATAGGCTTTGGCTTCCCTTGCACCTAAAGTCTGTCTACAGGTTACTTTAGAGTGCATCCATAGACAAATTATTGCATAGCTTTTACCATGTACATCATGTACATCATAAATATCTGAAGATTATCATTTGAAAGTTCTTAAAGCTGAGGTTTATTCTGCTTATGTTTTGCCCTCCCTCGTTCCTCCCTCTCATCAAGATACTCATGACATTTTTAAATAAAAACTATTTTCATTACATACCCTATTTTATACAAAGTGACATCATCACTGGGTCTTCATGTTTCTC